GGAGGCTGCCAGGCCAGGATTGGGATGAAGGGAGGAGAGGCGAGGCGGAGAGGTGGGTTAGGGCACGACACAGGGCTTGTTTAAGGCGGGAGAGCGGAGAGGAGAGCGCGGCAAAGAGCGAGGTGAGAGAAAAGCAGGTGCGGGAGAAGGGGCTGAGGACATTGGAGCAGGAGGAGTCGGGAAGGGCAGCGTTTGGAGGCGTGGTGGGATCACGCCTCCCTTCTTTGGAAGGGTGTCTCCGGCACCAGGCGGGCTGTGGTTTCCCTCTGGCCCGAGGGGACGGTGCTGCTGGGCCGACACACGGACTCCTGTCAGCGAAGGTGATTTTATTACTGTTTTTTAACTGGGTTTGGTCTCACTCAGGTTAAGTCAGACGAGTGAAAGCAGCTTCTCCTAACCCTTGTAAAGAGCTGTTTGGTTTTTAGTTAACATAGAAGTAGTATATTATTATTATTATTATTATTATTATGAACTATTATTATTATTATTATTAATTATGATGATGATGATAATACTACAAGGAAAGGTGTGACACTATATTTCACAGTTGCTCTAAAACACTTCCATGTTATGCGATAAAACGCCCGGAGTTTTCCAGCCGTTTGTGTAAATATTGGTTGACTTCTGGAGCTGTTGGTGTTGTTCCGAGGTGCCTGTACGTGGTGTCTCTTCGCTGTGTATCGTCAGCTGCTGGTTCGTGACCGTGTTTTGTAACAACTTTTGTAAAGTCTGTCAATACAGTGTTTCCACTCTGCATTCCGTGTGGGATGAGCCGCGGCAGCCCCTGGCCGATTCCTGCAGCTCCCTCGCCCTGCTCCTGGCTGTCGGTCGGGAGCTTTGCCAGGTAACCTGTGGGACAGGTGAGCGGCACAAACCGAGCGGAGCCAGGCCTGGGCAAACGAGGCTGCTCTGGGTGCTGCGTCCAGCATTTGGGATTCCTGTTTCTCCCTTTTCCTCTGCTGGGAGCGGATTTTGAGGTTGTGATCCACGAGCCAGACGGGTCTGTGGATGGGTGAGGGGTCTCTTCCCTCAGCCGGGCTCTGCGGGGGGATAGAGCCGGGACATCCCGTGCCGGGAGAGGCGCCGGTGGCTGCGGCTGCTTCAGAGCTGGGATTGTGGAATCCCAGAAGGGGTCAGGTTGGGAGGGACCTTAAAGGGTGCCCGGATGGTGCCACTCATAGGGTCCCATGCCCTTCCCAGGAGCTCCCCCACAGCCCAGGGTCTGTTCCCTGCCAGAGCCCATCCCCACAGCACAGGGGGATGTTCCTCTCTCCCAGGTCTCCCTGGGGGGAACCCACCGGAGCGCCCCCAGAGCTCTGACGATGCCCAAGGGGTTGTTCCAGCTTGGGACCACATGTGGGAGGGGGACAGGGCAGCCTGTGGGTTGGAGCCACTGTGGGGATGTGGCACTTGTGGCCCACACATCCCCGGCCTTGGCTTTTGCCAGGCTGGATCCCCTCCCATCCCAATCCACGCTGGGCACCTGCAGAGCTGGAGGGAGTGACCCTGGAGCGAGGATCCCCCACACTCTGGAGCCCCCTGGATGGGATGGGGCTGCCCCACACATGGTGGTGGGGAAGAAGGGGAGGAGGGAAAAGGGGAGAGCTCAGGGAAGAGCATCCCATGGGATCTGGGCTGGTGGTGGGCTGAGCACGGCTCCGAGCACATGGAGACTCCATGAGGATACACAGATGTCCTTCTCTGTTGCACACGTGTGCTGTGTGTGTATAAACACACCTACACATGCAACCTGAGCCTAGGGGACAGGACATGGCACTCCCTGGACACGACTGCATCCCCATCCCACTCTGGCTGATCACTCATGGGAATAAACACACCTGATAAAAACACCTGGATCCCCACAGGGACGACCTGGAGCCTCCCAGAGCCAGGATCAGGCACTCCCTCCTCTCAACAGCTGCCCTGGATCCCAGTCTCCCCAGTTGCAGTGGGATGTACAGACACCAGGCAGTGATACCCTCTATCCCAGAGCTGCTCCTGGTGTCCCCTCCCAGTGGGGGTTTCAGATCCCTGGGACAGCCCAGGACACGGGGGGGTCTCTAATTGTGGGTCACACCCTGGTACCCCTCCAAGGCAGGTTGCCTTGTCCCATCCCCCCTCATCCCCTCCTTTTTCCCACCAACCAAAGGGTTTCCTGCCCTTCCCCATGTTTGTTGTTCCCAATTTCCTCCCACTGTCACCCCAGGTCCCCAAACTCCGGACTGGGAGTGGGGCTGTGTGACAGGGGCTGTGCCAGAGTGGGAAGGGATGGGACAGGGCAGATGGATGGCCCGGGGATGGAATGAGGTGGGACAGGATGAATGGGATGGGACGGGATG